AAATGATCCTGGAACAAATTAACATCTATATACAAAATAAATAAAATACCTCAATCCACATATAAAAATTAACTCAAAGCAGATTATAAACCTAAACATAAACCTAGATGTATAAAAATTCTAGAAGAAAACACTGGAGAAAATTTTTGTGACACTGGGTTAGGCAAAGATTTCTTAGATATAATACCATAAAGGCGAACATTGAAAAATTAAACTTCATCAAATTTAAGGACTTCTGCCATGTGAAAAACACTGTTAAGAGAATAAAAAGACATCCCACAGACTGGGAAAGAGTATTTGCAAAGATTATTTAATAAAGGACTATTATCCAGAATATATAAAGAACTCTCAAAGCTCAATAATAAGAAAACAGGCCGGGCGTGGTGGCTCACGCCTGTAATTCTAGCACTCTGGGAGGCCGAGGCAGGTGGATTGCTCGAGGTCAGGAGTTTGAAACCAGCCTGAGCAAGACCTCTTCTCTACTAAAAATAGAAAGAAATTAATTGACCAACTAAAAATATATATATACAGAAAGTTAGCTGGGCATGGTGGCGCATGCCTGTAGTCCCAGCTACTCGGGAGGCTGAGGCAGCAGGATTGCTTGAGCCCAGGAGTTTGAGGTTGCTGTGAGCTAGGATGACGCCATGGCACTCACTCTAGCCTGGGCAACAAAGTGAGACTCTGTTTCAAACAAACAAACAAACAAACAAACAAAAGAAAACAGACCACCCAATTTTAAAAATGGGCGCAAGATTTGGACACTTGAACAAAGAAGGTATACAGATGGTGAATAAGCATGTGGAAAGATGCCATTAGGGAAATGCAAATTGTGGTTTCACAGTGAGATATCACTACTAGAATAGCTATTTTTTTTTAATGACAATACCAAGTATTGGTGAGAATCGGAGCAAATGAAACTCTCATATGCTGCTGGTGGGAATGCAACATGGTACCACCACCTTGGAAATCAGTTTGGCAGTGGTTTTTTTTTCTCTCTCTCTCTTTTTTCTTTTTTTCAAGACAGAGTCTGGTCTGTAACCCCAGCTGGAGTGCAGTGGTGTGATCACAGATCACAGCTCACTGAAGCCTCGAATTCCCAGGCTCAAGTGATTCTACTGCCTCAGCCTCCTGATTGGCAGAGTTTTAAAATGTCAGACAGACACCTACCCCATAACAGCAATCCCACTTGCAGGTTATTTACCCAAGAGAAATGAAAGCATAAAATCATACAAAGGCTTGTATACAGATGGTCATAGCAGCTTTATTTGTAATGGACAAAAAATGGAAATAAGTTAAGTGTCCACCAGGTGAGTATTTAAACAAATGGTGATATAGCCATAAAATGGAATGCTAGTCAGCAGTAAAAAGCAATGAACTACTGATACACATGACAACATAGATGAATCTAAAAATGATTATGCTGAGTGAAAGAAGACAAAAAAAATATCTAGGCCAGGTGTGGTGGCTCACGCCTGTAATCCTAGCACTCTGGGAGGCCAAAGCAGGAGGATCGCTCAAGGTCAGGAGTTCAAGACCAGCCTGAGCAAGAGCAAGACCCTGTCTCTACTAAAAATAGAAATTAGCTGGACAACTAAAAATTATATAGAAAAAATTATCCGGGCATGGTGGCGCATGCCTATAGTCCCAGCTACTCGGGAGGCTGAGGCAGAAGGATTGCTTAAGCCCAGGAGTTTGAGGTTGCTGTGAGCTCGGCTGATTCCATGGTACTTTAGCCCGGGCTACAGAGTGAGACTCTGTCTCAAAAAAAAAAAGTATCTCCCATATGTTTCCATATATATATAATTAGAAAGTACAACCTAATCTATAGTGACAGAAAACATCAGTGGTGGGCTAGCAATGAGGGGGGTGAAGAGTGGAGGGAGCAAGAGATTACAAAGTGACACAAGGAAATTTTGGGGGGTGATGAATATGCTCCTTATCTCGACTTGATGGTTTCCCAAGTGTATGCATATGTGAAAATTTATGAAGTTGTATATTTTAAATATGTGCGGTTTATTGTATTGTCAATTATTCTTCAATAAAACTATAAAAAGGTAAATAAAAAGAAGCAAGAATCAAACAAAAGAGTTTAAAAAAAGAAATGAGATATAAATACTGTGGAAAGAGAGCAAAATCATCACTACATGAAGATTACATTATTATCTAGTTAGAAAAGTCTAAGATTCAATAAGCTTTTTAGATCATATCAGCAAGTTCAATAAAATGGTCAGTTAAAAGAAAAATATGCAAAAATCAATAGCTTTCTTTTTACCAACAAAAACCAGTTTTAAAATGTTGCAAAAAATGATCCAATTCATGATAGCAATTAAAGCTATGAAATACATAGGAATCAACTTTACTGAGACATGTAAGACAACCTGAATAAATGGAGAGATGTATGCCATTTTCTCAAAATGGAAGAACACTCTGGAAAAGCTGTCAATTCTCTCCAAATTATTCTATCAATTCTATAGAACTGCAATAACATTCCAATGGGATTCTTTAACTGAAACTAGAAAAGATAATTCTACAATTCATCTGGAAGAGTATATGGGTACCAAGAGCAAAAAAAAAAAAAAAAAGAGTAAAAACTAAGGATAACAGGCCAGATGGGGTTGCTTCCATTACCAGGAATCCAAATGTGCCACAAAACCATTGGTATCACAGTAAGAATAGGATTTGTCCCCTTCACAGTAGGTATTTCACAAACAAATAACCAAGTAAATGAATAGGTAAAGAGAACAATAGAATAGCCCACAAACACTCTCAAAACCCTTTTTTCATATAGTGGATATTTTAATACAAGGGTTGATCCTGTATTTCTATTAAATATGTCCTTGATGTCCACAAGCACCTGAAACTCAGCATGCCCCAAACTGACCTAACCACTTTCCTATTCATGCTCCTCTTCTTACTTCACGAGTTCGCACAACCACTCAACCAAGAAAAGTGGTCACCCCGGGTCCCTGCCTCCCACTCACTCTCTCATTCAGTTTTACTTCTTAAGATATCTCTCAATCTTCACCTCCCACCACATGGGAATTCAGCACATGATAAAAACAGCATTGCAAACTATCAAGGAAAGGAAACCGTGCTAGAACAAGAGGCTATCCACCAATGAAAAATAAATACTTAAGTTAGATCCATACATAAAAATGAATTCCAGATGGATTAACTATCTAAGTATAAAGAGCTAAACTACAAAAGCACCAGGAAGAAATATAGGAAGAATTTTTTTTCCCTCAGAGACAGTGCCAGAAGAAGGAGGATTTTTTAAATATAATTTGGGGATGAAAAGGACTTTTTATAAGACAGGAAATTCATAAACCATAAAGAAAAATATCAAAAGAGTTGATTACAATTAAAGGCACCACGAAGTTAAAAAGTGCATGCTAAATTAGGAGTTTTATATCATTTAAAGCACAGATAGGGTTAATTATATCCCTAACATACAAAGAGCTCCTACAAATCAGTAAGAAAAAGTTAGAAAATCCAATAAGACAAAAGGGCAAAGGTAATAAGAAGACAAGTTATAAAATAAATTTATTAATAAAAGGTTAATAAACATATGAAAAGTTGCTCACACTAGGGTCAGGGAAATGCAAATTAAAACAATAGTGAAATACAGTTTGTCCATTAAATTGGCAAAAAATTAATACAGTTGATAATGTCCCATGTTCACATGAGTGTGGATAAAAGGGAACTTACATACATTGTTGGTGAGTATACTAAATGGTACAACGGTTTTGGAGGCAATTTTTCAGTACTTCCCAAAGTGTTAAACCCTTGGAGAAAGCTAATCCCCTTTAGTGAAATTCTGTAGTTTTAGTTCTCCTAGCATCCCCTATCCCTTCTTCTAGCAACTGCCCTCCCCTTAGCCCACAGCCCAGACAACCACTTCTCTCCTATTTTCTGGCAAATGGTTTGGTTGGGGTTGGCTCTGCCTCTCAGTTCCAGGAGTGAGTCATGTGACTTAGGTTTGCCCAATCAGTGTAGTCCATCTCCCTGTCAGGCAAATTGATTGGCTCAGTGCAAGACATGTGATCTCAATGAGGGCCGAGTTAAAGAGTCACTGTGACTCTGCCAAAGAAGAGTAGGTGAAGTGTGACCATCTTGACTCCAAGTGGAAGAGTTGATCTGAGAATGAAGCCAAAAACAAAGGAAATCAAAGCCAAGTGTGGGTGAGAGATTGTAAAGAGAAAGTTTGGGCACCTGGACCAAGCTATACCTGAAGTCAGGCTTCCCTAGGAATTTAGTTATTTGAGCCTATAAAGCACCCCGCTTTTTTTCATTGAAACCAATTTGAATTGCATTTCTGTCACTTGCAAGCCAAAAGAAACCTAACTACCGATAATATTGAATCTATCCTAAAATGTTTACTTGGAGTCAGGTTTGGTGGCGCCTCTCAGCTGCTCAGGAGGCTGATGCAGGATTGCTTGAGCCCAGGGGTTCAAGGCTGCAGTGAGCTTTTTTATTGCACTCTAGCCTGGGCAACAGAGCAAGACATTGAAGACATTGTCTCTAAAAAAAGAAAAAATTTACTTGAGGCAGGAAAAAGTTTCAGAGAACCATGTAGAAATATTATTTTTTATATATATATATATATATATTTTTTTTTTTTTTTTCAGAGTCTCACTCTGTTGCCTAGACTAGAGTGCCCTGGCATCAGCCTAGCTCACAGCAACCTCAAACTCCTGGGCTCAAGCGATCATCTGCACCAGCCTCCCGAGTAGCTGGGGCTACAGGCATGTGCCACCATGCCCGGCTAATTTTTTCTATATGTTTTTTTTTAGTTGGCCAATTAACTTCTTTCTATTTTTAGTAGAGACGTGGTCTCGCTCTTCCTCAGGCTGGTTTTGAACTCCTGAGCTTGAGCAATCCGCCTGCCTCGGCCTCCTGGAGTGCTAGTATTACAGGCGTGAGCCACCACACCCGGCCAGAAATATTATTATATTTTTAATATTAAAATATACAGTAGACCCATCTGTGAGGGGCTACAATCCAAGACCCTAGTGGATGCCTGAAACTGCAGTAGTATCAAGCCCTGAACGTACTGCTTTTCCTATGCATACATGCCTATGACAAAGTTTAATTTATAAATTAGGCACAGTAAGAGATGTACAACAATTAATAGGATAATTATAACAATACATTGTCATAAATGTTATGTGAATGTCGTCTCCTTTTCTCTCAAAATATGTCATTGTACAGTACTCACCTATTTTTGCACCTCAGTTGACCTTGGGTAACTGAAACCGTGGACACGGAGGCTGTGGACGAGGGGAACTACTGCATGTCTGTGCATATAAAAAGGTCTGGAAACACACACACACCCTGAGCAGTAGTTGTCCCTAAGGGACTGCCAGCAGGAGCCGAGGGAATCCACTTTTAACCCTTTACATGTCTCTATGATTTGAATTTTCCTAAAGAGCATTAAATTTTTCATTCAACAAATTTTTAGCACCTGTTCTGACCAATCACTGTTCTAGGCTGGGGCCACCGCATTAAACAAAGCAGACAAAATCCCTGCTTTCACAATGGGAGGCGGCATCAGATTTTTTAAAATAATAGCACCTAAAAAAGTAATGAATCCAACTCTTGGCTTTCACTGTGCTGCATCCAGGGAAGGTATCACTAGAGAAAAACACACAGCTGGGGAGACTGGGACCAAAGAAAACGGTTGTCCTCTGGGTTACGGGGAACCTGAACATGGTTTGGCAATCCTGCTCTCCAAAAGTGACAGCTTCCAACATCTCCCATTCTCTTTCCTTAAACTGTTTTTATTTTTTTTTTTATTTTTTTATTTATTTTTTTTTTTTTGAGACAGAGTCTCGCTTTGTTGTCCAGGCTAGAGTGAGTGCCGTGGCGTCAGCCTAGCTCACAGCAACCTCAAACTCCTGGGCTCGAGTGATCCTACTGCCTCAGCCTCCCGGGTAGCTGGGACTACAGGCATGCGCCACCATGCCCGGCTAATTTTTTTTTATATATATATCAGTTGGCCAATTAATTTCTTTCTATTTATAGTAGAGACGGGGTCTCGCTCTTGCTCAGGCTGGTTTTTGAACTCCTGACCTTGAGCAATCCGCCCGCCTCGGCCTCCCAAGAGCTAGGACTTAAACTGTTTTTAAAAGAGTGATTGCAGTTGTCGTTAGGACAGTTCACCAGTATTCTCTGTCTCTTTTTTCTGGGCATACAGCAAGATGCTGCTTCCTTGTCCCCTGAAGTCAGGCGTGGCCATGTGACTTGCTTTGGCCAATGAAAGGTGGACAGAAGAGATGTGTGTTACTTCCAAGTGGATCCTCTTAGGAACTGGTGCGCAATTTGCCAGGCCTCCCCACTGCTGCAGCAACTGTGGGGAGCGTAGGTGGTGGAGGCCCCAAGCAGCCTGGGTCCTGAGTGGGGACGGCGTGGAGGAGAGCCTCGTGTCAGCCCGTGGTGGCCTTGTAGACCGAGCAAGAAAGAAGCCATTGATGCTGTCGTGTTGTGGGACTTCTGAAAAGCAGGGTTCCAAATGGGGTTAGAGGGGCAAGAGATCTGTGGAGGGAAATGCCCGTGATGGACGAAGAGGCGGAGTAGGCGTGGAGAGCCTCGGACCACACGGAAGCCTGGCGCCCGTGAGAGGACAGGAGGAATGGAGGCGAATTGGGCAGGAAGAGTCTCAGACTGCACCATGGTTCTAAGAAACTTTCAGGTAGGTTGTTGGGGACAGTCTCCAAACCAAAATTGCCCACTGGGGGAATCCAAAGTCCCACGGGAATGGGCCAGCACCAGTACCCGTGCCACGCTCAGCCGTGGGCTAGGAGCAGCCCAGGGAACACGTGGCCTCGATACAAACACGGCGAAGGCTGCGTTTGGACAGCAGCAGGGGCTGCCGGTCAGCCCCGCCCCGAGTGGCAGCTTCCCTTGACAGAAACTCCAGAAACTCGAGCAGCACATTTCAGTGGCCATCAGAGCTGCTGTAACCCAGGGGTCAGCAAACTACCGCCCAAATCCAACCTGCTGCCTCTGTTTGTAAACAAATATTTGTGGAGACACAGCCACACCCTTTTGTTTATATGTTGTGGATGGCTACTTCTGCGCAGGATGGCAGGGTTGAGTGGTTGTGACAGAGATTGCATTCTCTGTAGCCTGTGATGATAGTTTTGACCTGCAAAGCCTAAAATATTCACTAGCTGTCCCTTTACAGAAAAAGTTTTCTATTTCCTGCTTCAATCCACTGAAACTTGGGGGTTGTTGACTGGCATAGAAAACCTGGCCTATCGTGACTGGCATAGTTATCTAAATTTCTCTTCATTTCTCATCTCCTGCTCTGTAACCCCCTCCACCCTGGTGCCACCCTCTCCAGCTTCATTCAGATCGTTCTTCCTTAGGCTGTGGCACACCTGTTTTAGTCCTTATGTAATGGGACCTCTTAGCTGCATGCAGCGGTCACACATTTTCCTCTTCTGGAAACACACTCTCCTTCCAGCTTCTAGAACACTGTACCTTCTTGGTTTTCCTCTCAGAAAGGGAATTCTCTGATCACATTTTTCTCAGTCTTTGTGGCTCAACTCAACTATTCAACGTTCTTCAGTTTTTTGTCCTAGGCCTGTGTCTATCTGGAGTGCATTAGGGATCCTCCTGCCTCAGCCTCTAGAGTGGGTGGACTATAGGCACACACCACCACACCCCACTGTCCTTTGAATCTTAAAAACAAATGGTAGTAAGGCCGGGTGCGGTGGCTCACGCCTGTAATCCTAGCTCTCTGGGAGGCCGAGGCGGGCGGATTGCTCGAGGTCAGGAGTTCGAGACCAGCCTGAGCAAGAGCGAGACTCTGTCTCTACTATAAATAGAAAGAAATTAATTGGCCAACTAATATATATAGAAAAACTTAGCCGGGCATGGTGGCGCATGCCTGTAGTCCCAGCTACTCCGGAGGCTGAGGCAGAAGGATTGCTTGAGCCCAGGAGTTTGAGGTTGCTGTGAGCTAGGCTGACGCCACGGCACTCACTCTAGCCTGGGCAACAAAGTGAGACTCTGTCTCAAAAAAAAAAAAAAAAAAAAAAAACAAATGGTAGTAACATCCACCAAACTGCTTAAACCAGAAATAGAAGAGTCTTCCTTGATTCTTCACTCTCCTGCACCCTATACTCTAAAGCCAATCACTAACTTCGCTTTTTCTACCTCCCAAATATCTAATTAGTCCACATCACTTCATCCTTAGCACCATGAAGCTGATCCAAACTGCCATTTTTACTCATCTAGACAACTGCTACAATCTCTTAACAGTTTCCCTGTTTTGGGGCATGTGTTCTTCCAGTCAAATCTTCACACTGCAACCACAGACCTTTGCAAATATAGGAACAAATAGGAAACAAATAGAATACAGTAGATTTAAACCCAACTGTATTATTATTATTTTTTGAGACAGAGTCTCACTTGTTGCCCGCTAGAGCCTGAGTGCGTGGCGTCGACCTAGCTCCACAGAACCTCAACTCCTGGCTCCAATAGCGTCCTCCCTGCCTCAGCCTCCCGAGTAGCTCTGGGACTACAGGCACGTGCCACCATGCACCGGCTTATTTTTCTATATAATTAATGTATTGCCAATTAATTTCTTTCTATTTATAGTAGAGACGGGTCTCGCTCTTGCCCAGCTGGTTTGTGAACTCCTGACATCGAGCAATCCGCCCGCCTCAGCCCTCCAGAGTGCTAGGATTACAGGCGTGAGCCACCGCGCCCGGCCCCAACTGTATTATTATTTATGTGAAATATAAGGGGGCTAAATGCTCTAATTAAAAAAGAAAGATGTCAGAGTGTATTAAGTAATCTAATTATATGCTGTTTAAAAGAAATATGTCTTAAATATAAGGACACAGAAAGGTTAAAATTAAAGAGTGAAAAAAGATATAATGCAAGCATTAACCAAAATGAAGCTGGTGCAGCTATATTAATATCAGACAAAGTAAACTTTAGGGCAAGAAGTATGACTAAAAACAAAGAGGGATATTTCCTGATGATAAAAGGGTCAGTCCAACAGGTAGACATGACAGTTTTAAATTGATATACAATTGATAATGGAACCTCAAAATATATACAACAAAAACTGACAGAATTAAAGAAGAAATGGACAAATCCTGACTGTTGGAGATTTTTATCACACCTCTCTCAGTAACAAATAGAAAAGGCAGATTTTAAAAATCAGTAGAGAAGTAGAGAGCAATTGAACAACACAATTAAACAAATTTCCCTAACTGACATTTATAGAATACTATATAAAAAAAAAAAAACAACTACAGAAGGCACAAGCTTCTCAAGTACTAATTTTGACACTTAACAAAATTGACCATATGCTGGGCCACAAAGCAAGTGTTAACAAATTTCAGTTACTGAAATCATGCATAGTAACTGGACTCTGTGAAGCTGAGCTTCAAATTAATAACTAAAAGTTAACTAGGAAATCCCCCACCCAAAATGTTTAGAAATTAAGTAATAAGCCTCTAAATAAGCCAGGGAGCCAAAAAAGAAACCACGATGGAAATTATAAAATACCTTGAACTGAATGATAATGGGATACAGCCCAAACCATGCTTAAAGAGAAATGTGTAGATTAAAATTCATATAAGAAGAAAGGCTAAAAATCAATGATTTAAGCATCCATTTAAAGAAGTATTAAGAAGAATAGCAGGCCGGGCACTGTGGCTCACGCCTGTAATCTCAGCACTTTGGAAGGCCAAGGCAGAAGGATCCCTTGAGCTCGGAGTTTGAGGATGAGCCTGGTGGGCAACAGTGAGACCCCATTTCTACAAGAAAGAAAAAAATTTTTAAATTAGCTGGTGTGGTGGTGCACATCTATAGTTCTAGCTACTTGGGACTAGGCAGGAGAATGGCTTGAGCCCAGGAGTTTGAGGTTGCTGTGAGCTATGATGATACCACTGTACTCTAGCTATAGTCTGAGCGACAGAGCTGGCACCTGTCTGGAAAAAAAAAAAAAAAATGGCAATAAGAGGATACTACAAACAACTTTATGTCAACATTTGAAAATTTAGATAACATGGTTAAATTTCTTAAAAGAAAACACAAATTACAAAAAACGTTGTAAGAATATCCAAAAAGCTCACAAAATATATTCTGATTTTTAAGATCATAATAGATACCTGTTAAAGTTGACTTTTTTTTTTTGAGACAGGATCTCCCTTTGTCACCCAGGGTAGAGGGCATTGCAGCCTCAAACTCCTAGGCTCAAGCAATCTTCCTGCCTCAGCCTCCTGAGTAGCTAGGACTACAGTTGGGCACTACCACACCCCACTAATTTTTCTTATTTTTTGTAGAGAAAGGTCTTGCTATGTTGCCCAGGATGGTATTGAACTCCTGGCTTCAAGCAATCCTCCCGCCTAAGCCTCCCTAAGTGCTGGGATTATAGGCATGAGCCGCCACACCCAGCCAGAAGTTGAATTTTTAATTTAAAATCTTCCCACGGAGAAAACTCCAGGCCCAGGTGGCTTCACTGAGGGAATTCTTCCAAACGTTTAAGAAAGAAATAACACCACCTTACACAAACTCTAAGAATAGAGAAAAAAGGAACATTTCCTAATTCATTTTATGAGACTTGCATAACTGTGATACCAAAAGCTGACAAGGGTATTACAAGAAAGGAAAGTTATAGGCCAATATCTCTCGTGAGTATATATACAAAATCCTACCCAAAGAAATACCACATCAAATTCAGTAATACATTTTTTAAAAGGTAATTCATATTAATGACCAAATGCAATTTTATCCACTAATGCAAAGTTAGTTTGATGTATCAAAAAAAAAAAAAAAAACCACCATAACTAATCACATTAACAAAATAAAGTAGAAAATCTATATAACCACTTCAATAGATGCAGAAAAAGCATTTGGCAAAATTTAATACCTATTCATGATCTTTTAAAAACTCTCAGAAAACTAGGATAAAAGGCACTTTCCACAATTTGATAAAGGATGTCTCAAAAAACCCACAATTGATATCATATTTAATGGTGCAATATTAATTGCTTTCCTGCTAATACTGGGAACATATAAGGATGTCCATTCTGATTTCTTCTATTCAACATTATCCTAGCTAGCTCAATAAAGACACAAACAAGGCCAGGCATGGTGGTTCACCGCTGTAATCCTAGCACTCTGGGAGGCAGAGGCGGAAAGATCATGGCTTGAGCTGGAGAGACCAGCCTGAGCAACAGCCAGACCCCATCTCTACTAAAAATAGAAAACATTAGCCAGGCATGGTGGTGAGTGCTTATAGCTCCAGCTACTCAGGGTGCTAAGGCAGGAAAATTGCTTGAGCCCAGGAGTTTGAGGTTGCTGTGAGCTAGGCTGACACCACAGCACTCCAGCCCGGGTGACAGAGTGAGACTCTATCTCAAAAAAAAAAAAAAAAAGAAAGACACAAAACAACTTAAAGACATAAAGATTGAAAAGGAAGAAGTCTGTATGTGTATGACATTTCTATACATTTAAAACCCTACAGAATCTAAAAAAACTATTAGAGCCAATGAGTGAAATTAGCAACAATATTGTCAACATACAAAAAAATCAGGGCGACTTCCGGGGCCCCCCCGCTCTTGGGGCCCCAGAACCTCGTCCACAAAAAAAAAAAAAAAAT